GATCTTAAATATTTTATATATATATATATATAAATATAAAATATTTAAGATCTATTTATCCAGTTTTAGCTTCTTTCCATTGGCTCCCTGTCAAATTCAATAAAATTCAAAATCTTCTAACCTACAAAGCCCCCAACAACCTAGCTTATATGACAGATCTTAATGTTCCATATTTTCCTAACAGAGCACCTTAGGCTCCTCTTGTGCAACTTCCAGTTTCTGTCTGTAACGCTGATGGTTAAGACTTTCCTTTTTGATAAATCCTATAGTTAGTGTTGGCTTGTTATGGGCTTATAGGCCTTAAGTTATAAGCTTAGACAACTGGAGGAAAAACTGACCTCGTTTCTTTAAATTATTTAAAACCGAATAGTTTTCATTTGATACTATTTCTATCTTAACATGTGACTCCTGGCCTGCCATTGTTCATGTTCCTCCTTCCTGTTCCTCTCAAACCCCGCCGGTCAAAGCAGATGGCGATTTCTTCCTTATGAGTTTTTCCTTTCCACTGTCGCCTTCATGCTTGCTCAAGATGAGTCTGTGATGAAGTGAGACTTAAAGCAGTCTGCTCCTCAGATAAAGTTAACTTAAGGTATGTTTCTGTTCAGTGCACTGAGATAACTTCTGTTGTGACTTGGCGCTATATAAATAAACTGAATTAATGTTGTACCCAATACATGTTGGATTCTATTTTAAATACAAGTTCACAATAACAGAAGTAAACACATAAAACTGACCTGTCTCTTTTTACAAACTCAGTACAGACAAGAGAACAAAAAGTAAATGCAGTGCAATTTGATTTGAAGTGTATTTATTCCACCACTAAACAAAACCCATCTATAGTGGAGTGAAAAATAAAAAGGTACATGTATACCTGAATAAACACCTGTGGTATGTTTTACAGCAAAATAAAAACATTAAGTCTTGTATTCAAGATTTATTTACATTTAGTGAAGAAAAAATAAAGAAAAAGCAAATGAGCAAAAAACAAATCTCAGCATGTCATGTCAAAGAGAACATAGGTTTGTAATAAAAACATTTATATACTAACAAATGTATTTACAAACTTCCTCTACTATATTTACACATGATAAAAACATTTTTTTTTTAAAGTTATGAGGTGGCTTTTGAGATATTAACCTATAAACAAAAAAAACTATAAATGTTCTCAGTCTCGAACACTTTTCTTATTTTCAGAATTATACAATAAAAAAGTTGTTCGACCTGTAATGAGTATATGAAAAAGATAAATTATGTTGAGTCTTGCTTCAAACATACATTCTTTGACAAGCAAAACCCTCAACAGTTAGTACAATAAATGTACTCAAGGGTGACGTTGTGCAACTTTTATTTTATTTCAACTTTTGTTTTTGCTACTTTACTTTATCTAGACATGATTTGAAAAGCTCAACTGTCACCGGTTCACTAAAACTAAAAATCACCTGTCCTTGTTTTTCCCTGCTTGTTATCTACGAGTGCAGAGAACACACCTGAAGATGTTGAGAACTAGCAGATGATAAAGAAGGAGATCCATCATTCATCGAACAAGATTTATGTCACAAGTGTTATTGTTTGTAGATTCAAAGACGTCTGTTTTCACGGTTGGCACCTCAGACTCCGTATAAAAAGATCAGATTTACAAATCACATTCAAAAACCACACAAGATGAAGTGACAGCATTCTACAAATGGACAGAAAATAAAAAACGGTGTTCATTTTAAAACCTAATCTTTAACACCTGAAATGCAAAATATCTTGCATTTTAAATGAGGAGGGGAAAAAAACTGCTCAAACAATGCAAAAATAAAAAATAAAAACAATTACAATTTCAGAATATAAATACTTTTGGGGACCAAACAGATCATTTAAACTGACCGTGAATTTTTATTTTTTATTTCTTCCTGGGGGTAACTTCATTTCTATTACAGTCAAATCATTGAGATGTTTGTGTAAAGCAACTTAAATTAACCTGATGGACAGGAAGATGAAAAAGTCCCTCAGCTTCTGAAAATATAATGTCCACCACATTAGGTGCAGGCAACTTTACAGGTATTACTATTATTAAGTACAAAACAAATCAAAACCCTTCAAGTAAAAAAAAAACCCAATGTCCAGTGGTTGAAAATTAACAAAAGTGCAAAAAAAAATTATACACCTTTTCCAAATGAGAACTTCAGTGATTTTCATTTTATGTTTTTGAACAAATTAGGCAATGTGAAGTAAAATATATATACTGTGAGGAAAATGAGTATTTGAACACTCAGCGACTTTGCAAGTTCTCCCACGTAGAAATCATGGAGGGGTCTGAAATTTTCATCTTAGGTGCATGTCCACTGAGAGACATAATCTAAAATAAAAAAAAAAATCTGGAAATCACAATATATGATGTTTTAAAAATAATTTATTTGTGCGTTACTGCTGCAAATAAGTATTTGAACAGCTGCCAATCAGCAACAATTCTGGTCCTCAAAGACCTGTTAGTCCTCCTCTAAAAAGTCCACCTCCACTTATTGTTCTAAATCAGAAGCTCCTGTTTGAGGTCGTTAGCTGCATGAAGACACCTGTCCACCCCACACAATCAGTAACACTCCAACTACTAACATGGCTAAGACCAAAGAGCTGTCCAAAGACACCAAAGACAAAATCCTAGACCTCCACAAGGCTGGAAAGAGCTACGGGGCAATTGTCAAGCAGCTTGGTGAGAAAAGATCAACTGTTGGAGCAATTATTAGAAAATGGAAGAAGCTAAACATGACTGTCCATCTCCCTCGGACTGGGGCTCCATGCAAGATCTCACCTTGTGGAGTATCAGTGATCCTAAGAAAGGTGAGGAATCAGCCCAGAACTACACGGGAGGAGCTGGTCCATGACCTGAAGAGAGCTGGCACCACTGTTTCCATGGTTACTGTGGGTAATACACCAAGACGTCATAGTTTAAAATCATGCATGGGCCGGAAGGGTCCCCTGGTTAAATCTGCACACGTCCAGGCCCGTCTTCAGTTTGACCATGACTATTTGGATGATCCAGAGGAGTCATGGGAGAAAGTTCTGTGGTCAGATGAGACCAAAATAGAACTTTTTGGTCTTAATTCCACTCGCCTCAGTTAGAGCATTGAAGATGGGTCGTGGTTGGGTCTTCCAACATCACAATGACCTGAAGCACACAGCCAGGAGAACCAAGGAGTGGCTCCATAAGAAGCACATCAAGGTTCTGGAGTGACCTAGCCAGTCTCCAGACCTAAACCCTACAGAAAATCTTTGGAGGGAGCTCAAACTCAGTGTTTCTCAGCGACAGCCCAGAAACCTGCTGATCTAGAGAAGATCTGTGGAGGAATGGACCAAAATCTCTGCTGCAGTGAACCTGGTGAAGAACTACAGGAAACCTTTGACCTCTGTCACTGCAAACAAAAACTACTGTACCAAATATTAACATTGATTTTCACAGGTGATCAAATACTTATTTGCAGCAGTAACACACAAATAAATTATTTAAAAAAGCATACATTGTGATTTCTGGATTATTTTTAAATTTTAGATTATGTCTCACAGTGGACATGCACCTAAGATGAAATTTCAGACCCTTCCATGATTTCTAAGTGGGAGAAGCTGCAAAGTAGCAGGATGTTCAAATACTTATTTTCCTCACTGTATCACAATATTTCCTCCTGTTAAAACTGAACCAAAGTAACACAGAGCTTGATGTTTGTAAACTGAAACGGAAATGATGAGCAGATCTTTTATACAATAAAAGCACCAAGGTTCAGATTCAGTATAGTTTAGTGTTTTTATTTCTCCAGCTGCTTGATCTGAAAAACCATCAGAGACCTTCGGCTGATCCTAAATGACCCTCAGATTCTTCAGAGAGATTTAAACCTGAATCTGATGAACAAGAAGTCGACACGGCAGGCGGCAACGACTGCATCAACTCTTCTCGTCCCTCAGAGGCGTGCATTTCTGCTGAATCCTCTTCCTGATCACCTGATGACACCTTCAGCTCAGACTCCGGCTGCCCAACATCAGCAGAAGTTGCACTTTCAGCTGTTTTCAAATCAGTTTCGTTTTGTGTTTTAGCAGGTTCTGTTTTCAGGAGAGTTGTCGTCAGTTGGGATGATGCTTGCTGTTGAAGATGCCTCAGGACAAAAAGAACAGTACATTTCAAATCATCTATCTACTAACACACAAAGTTCATACAAAACAAATGGGACATTTTTATACCAACATTTATGTTTTGTTAAAGTGGAACATAAAAGTAAAACTTTTTAAGAGCAGATGGGTTGAGTCTGAACTGAGGGAAGCTTCCAAACAAGAAGGAAAACGTCTTTAGGACCCAAGACAGGAACTCTGGTTGCCCGTTATTCCATCTCTTTAGACCTTAAAGAGTGAGAACTTGCACATAAACTGTGACTGAACTCATTTACTCTTTCAGCTCTCGCTCAAGGCGGATGCCTTCTCCTTTCCCTCCCCTGATCTCCTCTTCCTCCTGCTTTTTGCTCTCTGTGTGTGTGTCTCAGAGCTCCTGGTACACATCTTCCGAACAAAAAAAAAAAAATACTATGGATCTGATCAGCTGGACTTTCAACGCAATCGACAAAATCTTTTCAATAAAAAAAAAAAACATGATCCTGGAGAGCCCTCATGTCCTGCTGAGACTCATGCTGCAGGACACATCAGGGATTTGTGGGGAGTGTGGCAGCTGTCTTTCAGTTTTTTTAATTACTTTATTTTACCAGGAAGACATCCATTGAGATCATCAATCTCTTTTACAAAGATGTCCTGGAAAAGTTCTGTCTCAGGAGGACGCCAACGACGTTTAACTGGATTCATGATAGCAAGGTTTCTGCTTTTTGGCATCGCCGGGCCCCTGTGTAATCAACTTTTGAGGAAGACTTCGGCAGCAGTTTCGACCATGACAAAACTGCCAAGTCTGCATGAAGGTTTGGTTCGTGCTACGAGCACTCAAATCAGCTGATTTACGAGCTAAACCGTAAGATGGAAGCAGTTTGTGAGAATCGCAGGCCTCCTGCGGCTTCTAGGACTTGCCAGCATGTTGGAGTCGACCTTGAAGAAGGCTCATAGCACGAATCAGTGGAATGCCCAAACATCTGTCCATTTTGGATCTGGAAAGTACCAGCAAAACTCGAGGCTGACAAGAAAAAACAGTCTGCCTGAAGAAAATCAACAATTGTGGCTTATCTGAATCAGACTCCCCCGTTTGACCTCGGATGTGGGCCAACTACCAAATTTCTCCTGGGACATGGGTAAAGGAAAAAGATGTCTATCACAACCCTCCCCCAGAACTTCTGTGCAGGCTTGGTGTTCAGCCGGCAGAACACCAACATCTTATCAGGACTATGGCCTATCTGAAAGTGCTTCATGGACAAATCTCAACATCTTGACATCAAGTGAATATGTAATGTGTTTATAAATGTGTTTGCTGGTAGTTTTTTGATGTCTCGAATCATGTCCTGATAGGACAAGGTGTGAAGAGATCTTTTTTGTAATACCATTATCTATCCTCATGGCCTTTTACATTTTTCTGTCTAAAAAAGTATTCTGACAAAGAATAAGAGGCTGCGCTCTTGTAGCAGCAGCAGCAACGTGCACTCTGCCCATCTTTCGGACGACTGTACGAACATAATCTCACCGTGTCCAGGTAAAGTGATAATAAAGCTTATTCTGATTACTCCTCACCTCGCGCACATGAAAATATCGCGAGGTCACCGGTTTATACCGTATTTTAGCAAGTTTCAGTCAGTTAAACTCAGAACTTAAAAGACCTTTAAAAGACCATTACGGTTCAAATTTAATACCTTTTAAGAAGAATAAAAATAAGTCGTTGTAAAATTTCTTACAAAGTAACAAACTGTATTGCCTTTCACTTAATTTCAAAGAAATCCAAATCATTACAAACAAACTACAAACAAGTTTCAGGAGCAGAGCAGCCACATCTTGTGGAGAAAGGCTGAATATATTTCAATAAATTCCTTCCAACAAGGCTGCTGCATGATGGGAGTTGTAGTTTTGTGACAGTGTAAGAACGTGAACTAAGACTGAGCTACGAAACGGAACAAATGAATGCCAACGACGGCAAACAACAACAACAACGTTGCTGTTAGATTCAACAAATTAACAAAATAACAAATTTAGGTCATAACCAAATTTAATGTAGGACCTAAAATAAAAATTTTGATAAATGTAAGAGTTTTTAGGAGCTCACAGAAACACTGGCGTTGCTGTCTGATTGAAAAGTGTTTTTGTTCTCAAACTATGTATCATTCAATACAAAGCCATTCACACTGAGAAGCACTTTAATAAAAAAAAATGTAATATTGACGTAATAGAGTCGTATCACAAGTGTGATCAAAACTGAATGAGCAGCCAATAAAAGAAATAGATTAAACATTTAAAATATTCTTAACTGCGTTTCTGATTGACAAGAACAATGTAAAGGCAGGAGGTTTCACTTACGGTTTGATTTGATCTTTATCTTGAGCTTTTACATCTGGTGGGTTTAAGATGAACACTTAAGCTTTTTCACCTCAATAAAACCCGATTGTGCCTCGGCTCCCAATAAGAGAAACTTACCCATTTCCTGGATGACTTGGCAGATGTGACTTGGTTCATCAGTTAAATGTTTAGTCATTAGATCACCACCACACGCATCGACGAGGAGGTCACAGTTGAGACAGATGAGGGTTAATCTGAAAAATAAAAATAAAAAAAGAAGAATATTCAGTTCGTTTGGTCGTTTATTTTACTCTAAATGCAAACTTTATGCTCACATACCTTACTGCCGGTGACTTTTTTTGCTGATCCATTTTCAAAAACCTCTGTTTGGTGATGGTACTATGAAATCTAACAGAAATTAGTTTAAAAAAAAAAAAAAGTTAGATTTATTAAAAACTCTAAATTAATTCAGAGAAATCAGCTTCGACTCACTTGATCATGTGATTCCCAATGGAAACTTTGCAGCTCGTCTGATAGCGGCACGCGCCACAATGTGAGAGGATCGGAAAATGTGAAAAGAAGTGGTCGACCTCGGAGTTGCACTCGATGCACGTGTGGCGCTCCCCTTCAGCCCTAAGAAACACAAGCAAGTTTCTGTATTGTCCTCGTTTTTCTTTGGATTGAAGCTTACAGATGACAAAGAATGTTTAAAAAAGTATTATCACAGTTATGCGATTGTCCGAACTAACTTCATTCAACAACTTCACCCCTCATCAGATCTGCTGAGTTGTTTTGCGCCACAACTTTATTTTAACAGCACGATTTCCAAACAACATTTTCTAAATACATCATTTTATTTTTCTCCATCCAAATGAAGCGTCCAAAACCAAAACTTGCTACCGCTGTATGCATGACTATGGTTTAATGGCGTGTCCCCCGTCATGAAACCCCAGCAGTGTTACAGACGCCTCATCAGGTTCACTAAATCGTCACATTTTCAGAAATTACTTCATGCTTTAAAATCACGGTTTTCTTTTCTTTCAGAGTTGACAAACAAGTGTCATCGTCTATTAGACTGAAGCGTGAAGCTGTAGACCTGTTAGCCAAATACTGGGATGAAGCGCAAAAACAAGTCAAATTCAAGTTCGAGGGTTTCTGAAATGATCCGGTGGATCCCTGAACACAAACACGGCGATCGAAGATCTTATTGTTCCATATTTCCCTAACAGGACACTTTGCTATCACACTGCAGGCTTATTTGCGATTCCTAGAGTTACCAAAAACAGAATGGGAGGAAGATCCTTTGGTGATCAGGCTCCTCTCTTGTGGAACCAACTTCCAGTTTCTGTATGTGAGGCTGACACATGGTCCAGTTTGAAGACTTTCCTTTTTGATAAATCCTATAGTTAGGGTTGGCTTGGGTTTCCTGAGCTATCCCTTAGTTATGCTGCTATAGTTTCAGACTGCTGGAGGACAAATTGACCACATGTTCTCTCTCTGCTGCTTCTTTACTTGCTCTACCTGTTTGTATCTGTAATTATTTCCATCTTAACATGTTTTTTTTTTGTCTTTCCTCCTATAGAAAGTCCACCTGGACCATCATTCTGTGTTAGTTTGTTTCTACTTCCTGTTCCTCTCAAACCCAGCCGGTCGAAGTAGATGGTCGCTCGTCCTGAGCCTGGTTCTACGGGAGGTTTCTTCCTGTTAAAAGAGAGTTTTTCCTTTCCACTGTCTCCTTTGTGCTCGCTCAGGATGGGAGACTGTGAAGAAGTAAAGAGTCAACACAATCTGCTGCTTCCTGAGATACAGAACTTTTACTAATTGTCTTTTATAAAGTATATGAATGTTTTTGTGCAGTTTCCTGAGACAACTTCTAGGGATGCACAATATTATCGGCACGGTATCGGCCGATATTAGCGTTAAAGTTCAATATCGGACATCAGCCATTCCGTTAAAATCACTCACTGATATAAAGGCGATGTTTCTGCCTGCAGCGGCAGCGCAACGCGATGACGTCACGTGCGCCTACCTGATCTCACGGCGGAGAGAATTCAAAATGTCTGCCGTGTGGATGTTTTATTTTTCGTTGGTGAGGATGACGGATTCCGGAGATTTATGGACTACGTTGAGCCTCGCTACATCGTCCCGTCAGAGATATTTTTCCGACGTAACGTTACCCGAGTTACAAGCCGTCATTTCCGACGTCATCGAGAAGCTAACAGCCGATAGCACTTGGGTGAGTTTTACCACAGACGTTTGGACGTCCTGTTAGCCCGTTAGCATGATTAGTCTTACGGATCAATGGATAGATGATCTTAAAAAGTCGGTCCTTCATGACGAGTGCAGAGGATCCCACACTGCAGCTATAGGAACCTGGAACAAGCCTCCACAAGTGAGACAGCATCACAGGTGACTAATGCTAATAAATAACATTTAACACTTTTCATTTAATATAAGTTTAAGTGATATGCATATCATATGGCTGTTACTGAATATATGTCACCAGCTGTTACAGCTGTTGTACAGTTTTTGTAGCAAATAAGCCTCAACAAGAGGGATATGTTCTGACAAAGGAACATATATAAAATATTGGTATTGGTTATCGGCCAAATAAGTTTTAACATATCAGCCAAAAATCCAATATCGTGCATCCCTAACAACTACCGTTAGCTCTATAGACATGAACTGAACTGAATCACATTGAAGCCAAATTAGATTTTGAATACCGACAGATGAGTGACGGATAAAATTTGTTCAATAAGTTGAAACAGGGCAAGTTAAAACAAACTGAACAAACAAAATTACCAAATCTGCAGCTAGAAGCTAAACTTCATCAAACAGCTATAACAATAACAATAATAATAATAATAACAAATAAATAAATAAGCTAAAAGGAGCATAAGATAACAAGAACAGTAGACAGTATGCTAAAATAGATTTCAATGTTTCTGATGGAAATAATGAGATCTCAGCGTTTTTCAATGAAGAAAACATTTGTAAATAAAGTTTAAAATTCTGAAAAACATGAAAAGATACAAAAAACTAAAGTCCTAACTGCAATCTTCTGAATGAGCTGAACATTTTGATATATGAACGGTTAAAATGGCACAAAGTCTGCAGCAGCAGACTGAAACAAAATAAAGACAAGAGAGTTGTGTGAATTCTGGGTCAGGATTTACACAGTAAGTAATCTTTAATAAGTACTCACAGTAAGTAATCTTTATTAGGTACTCACAGTAAGTAATCTTTAATAAGTACTCACAATAAGTCATCTTTAATAAGTACTCACAGTAAGTAATCTTTAATAAGTACTCACAGTAAGTAATCTTTAACAAGTACTCACAGTAAGTAATCACAATAAGTATTTTTAATAAGTACTCACAGTAAGTAATCTTTAATAAGTAATCACAATAAGTAATCTTTAATAAGTACTCTTTAATAAGTAATCTTTAATAAGTAATCACAATAAGTATTTTTAATAAGTACTCACAGTAAGTAATCTTTAATAAGTAATCCCAATAAGTAATCTTTAATAAGTACTCTTTAATAAGTAATCTTTAATAAGTAATCACAATAAGTAATCTTTAATAAGTACTCACAATAAGTAATCAGCCCTAATATTTTGTCTAATGTTGTATGTGGCCATCTGTTAATGTCTTTGCCCAGTTGTTCAGGGTGAAAACATTTAGGTACCAACCTCAGATTCCTGAGTGCCAGGTTGTTTTTGGAGAGCCGACGCTGTTGTTTCTTGTTCTGATCCATTTTGTCCTTGGATTTTTTCGCTCCGGAGTTGTTCGTTTTAGCTTTGGACACGATGGCAGGGGGTTTGAACAGGGGGGTACCTGTCGGCTCTGTGCTGATGGTTATACTGGACAGATCAGGGGACAATAAATCTGATAATTGTCCCTTCCCTGTGAGGGAGGCTCGGACCGTCACCTGCAACAGTAACACAAGCAGCCTGGGAGTGAATTAGAGGTACTGAAACGCTTCATGCTTTATTTATTTATGGTAAACGACAAACTGTCAGGACCGGGTCAGACCTTTGTACCCGGAGGAAGACCCTCCAGAGCTCTGGGTTTCCTGAACGTCTTGTGAAGGCGAGTCCTGTGGTCGATTTTTTCCTTGTAGGTGAGGAAATTCAGTCTGCACCTGCCACATCGATGGATCCCTTTATTCTGAAAAACACATAAAAAGCAGAATCAAGTGAAAATAAAAATGATGTAAGACTAAAGCCCAAGTACTGACTGGTTTCATATGGAAGCAAAGTGTCGTAACAAATGTAAAAAAAAAAAACTACTTTACTGCCAATTAAAGGAGAGACTAATAATTTTATTGGGTGGAAACTTCACTTTATTATCACCTGCTGCCTTAATGTGTGTGTTTGTCTGTTAGCAAAATATCTCATGAAGCACAGGACAGACTTTAATGAAACTCTCTAAGAAATCACTGGATATACATCTACAACTAAATAACTGGTAGTAGCTTGAATTTGTCCCCACCGCATCCTCTTGAGTGCTAAAACATGTTTTTTTTTGTTTTTTTTTACTTTGTGGGCATTTTGCTTTTCTACAAGAAATCCTACTTCCTTTTTTTTTTTTTTTTGTAGGTAAGACCAGATTACACAAAATGCACAATCATAAAAGTCTAAAAAGTCTGGTTTGTGCTGCAACTAACCCTTTGAAAAAACAAGTCTGTGCGAGTCACGACCAGAGGTTTGAATATCTTTGCAACAATGTTTGACATTCAATTCAAAAATACTTCGTTAATCCCAGAGGGAAATTAATTGTTGCAGCTCATCATCCTGGTTTCATTGGAGTTGTTCTAGATGCTGATGGCTTTGGACAGGAAGGATTTCTTGTAGCAGTCCGTCCCACAACAGATCTGAAGAAACTGGCTGCAGATGCCGATCCGGCCACCCAGACCCAGCAGACCATGGCCTTGCAGCAGCCTGCCGAGCCCCTCGTCGCTGCGGACTTAACTGCAGGTGCCAGCGGACGATCTCGGTCTTCCCGGTGTCACAAACCGTGTTTCCCGCTACCTCCAAGATCTCAGCGGTCAGGCACTCGAACATAGCCTCCAGGTAGACGTTAATGCATCCACGGCACCTCCTTTTCAACTCATTTTGAATTTGGGGCTGTTGAGGTATTATTTGAGCTTCTGAGATGTAAATCAGCTGCTCCCTGTTGTAGAAAACCACCTTGTTGTCATGGTTACGCATCATAACAAATGTCCAAATGTGAAAAAGGTTTCAGTAAAAATCCTTCCAGCAGCACAGCATCTGATACCAGAGGAAGTAATCATCGGGAAAAAAAATCACCCAGAAAAATTTGTAATTAAAGTTTTCAAAAGCAAAATCTCAGAATGAATGTAAGAGAGCTACTCCAACATGCAGCCACCCTGAGCAGCACAATTCTGGGATATTATTATTCTGGGATGTAATTAGCGTCACACCTGATGTTTCATGTAGTGTTGCATGTACGAATGACAGGATCGAACAACTTTGAGACAGAAGGGACAGAGCAGGTCTTTTGTGTTTTCATGGACGCTCCGGAAATGCGTTTCCACTTCTGAGAAGAAAGATGACCTGTAGTTGCACACCTGTGGAGTCATTCGAACACAAGGTCAGTGTTTTGTATAATCTTTAAAAAATATTATTAAGTAAACAATAACTTAATAATAACGGGCAGTAGACCTGGCAGACGTAAGGCATTTCACCGGGTTTGTGGTTGTTCTTCATGTGTTCCAGCAACACCTGCTCTGACTCAAACGCCAGCTCGCAGATCTTACAATTAGCTGCAAAGGGACCGGAGAGGACAGTGAATAAGTCTCTCATCAAGCGATGCATCCAGACCGAGTCTCCTTGAGATATTTATGTCTTACTTGGAGATTCAATCGGGCTGTGAGCACTCTCGATGTGGCACTGCAGCTGGAACGGAGTCATGTACTGGCGGTAGCAGTGTTGGCAGGTTGTGTGGCTTTCCCAGCTCTCACTGTTCTGCTTTTCCAGTTCCAGGTGGTGTTTCATGTGGTTCATGAACCTGCAAGGGGGAAAAAAAAAACACGCATAACGTAAGTACTAAATAAAATACGCAGAACTCCAGGAACAATCTGGCATAATGTTGCTGCAATAACTGCACAAGACTACAAACTGCATCATTATTTAAATAAAAGCGAGACAAACATCAACATAACATGGGCCTGTCAGGATAACAAATTAACAATAACAAACTGGGCGATTAATTGTCTCAAAGTATTGCGATAAACGATAATATTGTTTGAAATTTGACAATAATTAGAAATTATTGTCAAATTTAAGAAGAAATGTTTATTTGTTTTGCATGTAGTATCTTTTTCGACCACCAGATGGCAGTATAAGACTGTTTGAAATGAAGAATGGATAGTGAGGGAGCGAGCAGCATGTCTCTTTATGAAAAATGGGAGGGAGGCCCATTGACGTGATGGGCTGTCTCTCTTCGGTGCTCAAAATGGCGGACGCTCGGTGTTGTTTGAGCTCTTTAGCATAGCATTTTTCACACAAAACTTTTAATTAAAAAAAAAAATCAGTAAACAAGTTCTCAGCTTCTTTTTGCAGAGAAAAACTTTTTACATGAAGGCACCGGTTTCAACCGTGAATTCTGGAGCTTCAACAAGACGGAGGTTTGATCCCCGAGGTCAGCCTGTTAGCTTAGCTTGTAGCTTAGCTTCTAAGCTTAGTAGTAGAAAGAGAGAGACACGATGAAACAAAAAAGCCGATAAATGAAAATGAGGTCGATAATTTTAATTTATCATGGGATTAATTGATTTATTGTTTATAGCAACAGGCCTAACATAACATGCACAGCCAAAGATTATTTCCTGGAAGGTTAATTACAATCTGTCTAGTAGTTCATGAGATAATTTGATGACGATCAGTGTTGGCTTCAAAAAAGTTAATGGCAAAATGTACAACAAAGATATGTTTGATTCTCAGATTCTACCACTTCAGATTTTAGCTCATTGTTCGTAAAACTGGGCGAGTTAGAGACATTTTTGTGTTTGCTAAGGTTGACTCGCTGTGGTGACCATCTTGAGGTAGATCATCAGAGATTAAATCCGCTGTATTGTGCATCCAGTGTTTAGTTTCTGGGCGTTTCAATAAAACTTTCAGGGGATCACAATATGGTTTGCCAACACACACACAGAAAAACAGACAAAAACATCATCACCATCGCCGGCAGGTGCTAATCAAACTAATAAAAGAAAGAAAAAAGGCGCTGGATCTTAATATTAGGGGATCTCTCAGTTTTTCCAAGCACATGAAAGTAATTAAAATGTGAAGGATAACTTTAACATTCATGACTTATGAACGTGCTCCTCGTCCCAAAGGTATTTCAGATAAATGAAGAATTCGTCTCACTCCTCACTTTTTAAGTATGTATAATGGGCGTCATAATATCAGCAATTACACAGATTTTGTTTTGTGTAAGGATTTAGTGCTCCGCGGCTGCTCCACAGAAACCTGCCGCCTCTGCCCTGACGAGGCACGCTTCATTTTTCAGCCCCTACATTCTGCTGCCTCAGCTCCCCGAACAGAAATTTTCACGTGGATGAACTATGACCTCGACGGTGAGAGTGCCGCTGCAGTACAAATGTGCTTCCCCATTAAAAGCAGCTTACAGAGACTCTTTTTTTTTTTCAGTGTTCTGAAGCATAGTTATTTAATCACGGGAGCAGTTTTTATGCCACGCAAACTAGCAGTCATTTTTCACCACCGGGCCCACGAGGGAAACAGTCTGACGGTGTCATCCATCTGAGAGGAGAGTCAGGGCAGAGAAAGACATGCAGCCGTTCTTTATTGGCACAGGACGGGTATCTTTTTGTTGGCTCCTTCAAGTCCTCAGCTGCCTTTTGGCTGCGTATTTATCACAGTATGACACAATTGACGAAACTATTTTTCTTACAATGATGAGAAAAAACAAAAGCGTTCCAAAAAAAAAAAAAAAAAAAAAAAACCATCAAAACTTTTATTCATCCAGCTTCCTAAAATGACCGTAAAACAAAAATTTGCCTCAGGATCCACTTTCTCTTACAACATTAAAGTTATTCATGTGAATAATTCTGCTAACATTAATTAAAAGGTAAAATTTACTGAGCAAAAAGTTGTCAGATTGGGTCTAAAATTACCAGTAAGTTAAATTCAAAACAGTCTGCTCCTCAGATAAAACTTCTAGTTCACTTGAACTTGAATAAACTGAACCGAATTGAATTGAAATAGAAGTTTTGGAAGAGGTTTGTCTTAAGAATTACCGGTAATTATGTCTTATAACCCTTAAATTTTCTTTAAATTGACTATTTTTCTCTGCCAGCTGTTGTAGCATCAGGAAGTCATTGTGAAGCTTGAGGCATCGACTTTTTAAATATAGAGCTGGAATTAACGTCAGACGAATAAAATCTAAATTTCAAACAAACAAAACTAGCTTGTTGCTAGGCCAGCTGATAAAGCACAACATTTCAACAAACCACATCATTTTGAAGCTCTTGAGATGGAGAATTTGAAAATAATTGTAACTCAGTATTGAAAGATTTTGCCAGCACAAGTCCCATTTGTATCCAGGGGCGGTTGCCATCTTGTACGGTTGATTACCGTAGTTTGCAAGAAAGAGTGGAAGGTAACAGCAAAGCCAAGTTATTGGTTTTCATGTGACTTGTCAATGGTTATACTGTTATGGATGATTTGTGTAGTTCTCTATGTGGAGTCTAGAGAAATACCAAAAATAAATTGGTTTGCTAGGACAAGGTCAGGCCGGTTTTTAGACGTTTTAACTTAATTATCCTCAAGTAAAACAGATTTCAGAGAGACAATAAGATAAACACAGACCACCATGTTGGCCAGATCGCTCAGACAAAATACCTCCAGCCTAGTGAGCGAAGCAATAACCTACACTGTGCAAGAAACAGGGCTGTGTGCAGCAGACACACAGGCCGGATGGATGGGTGGATGGATGGGTGGATACAGTGTTTCCCCTAGTTATCTTGCCATGGCGGGGTGCTCATCTCATCCATGATTTTTGCTGATGGGAGGGGACAGAGACGTGTCTGAGCGCAGCTTGTACTAACAGTTTTTGAGTGGGGGCGGGGGGCGTTCAACATGAGGGAAGAGGCAATGTGAGTGCTGCCTTTGGCTTTTTAGCTAGAGAGCCTGTATTTTGTGATGCTAGCTTAGTGATATGTCAGTGCCGGGTGGGGGTGGGAGGGGCAAGTTCAGTTTGGTAGGCGGGATGCTCAGTTCTGTTGATGGGGTGGGGGACCCCACCTGTATAATGGAAGGGGAAACACTGGTGGATAGGTTGTATGGGTGGATGGGTGGATGGATGGGTGGATGGGTGGATGGATGGATGGATGGATGGATA